TTTATTTATTTAAATTAATGGGGTTTATTTTATATATGGGGTCGAATTTTTTTGACTGTAAACTGAAAACAGCATCTTAATTGATTTTTTTGTTTCAATGCTTTGTACTGTTCTTACTTTTGCCCTCATTCTTGTCTTGCTAACCCATCTACCTCATTTCATTTGACTTGGTTTCCACTGTTTTCTCTCTCATTCCGTGTGACTGAGCAGAAGGATTCACTGAGGTGTGTTGCTTAGTTTTGAGCTTAGGTATAAAGTTAACCCTATGTGCTAGTAGCTATACTACGCACAAGTTTAGCCATTCATTTGTGCTTTTAGTTTTAGTAATTTCCTGTTTTTGTTCCCACACTCTGACTAGCAAGCACAAGCAGTTGCCAGGCAAAAAAATAGAAACCTTTGTCTCCCAATATTTTACACAATTCTTTCACATAATGTTCTTTCATGCTTCACAGTAGACTTTCGACTGAATAGACGTCATATTTAACTGGACACAAATAAAAATAGCATTCAAATAGGGCTTTTAAGGCCTAAGGTCACGTCTGATTTTCACAAACTATGATTAAAAATGTTTTATTTGTGTCACGTTTAATATGCCGTCTGCTCTGACTAAGGTCCATTTCTTCATTCAGCTCGCATCTGCTCAATAATCTATACTGTGCATGAATCTCTGGCCTTTTTTCTCTTCCTTCCTCCGCTCTTCTCTTCCCTCCTAGGCTTCCTCACACTCTGCATCTCCTTCCTCCTCCTCTTCCTCCTCTCTGTCGGGTCAGCTGCAGCAGTGTGCGTCCGGGCCTGGCCCTGGTGAGACAGAAAGCGCTCTCAGCCTTTCTGCATCTAACTCCTGTCTGAACCACCAGGGCTCCCTGCCTGTCCCTACGGTGAGTCTCGCTTGCCTTTTGCTGGCCTCTAACCCGTTAACCCGTCTTTTTGAACTAATAAAGCCTTTAATATCTTCTTTAAAGCCTAATTTAACAGCAGTGCCTGCAAAGTGTTGACAGTTTAGGTGAGTTTAGGTTTTAGGAACCAGTTGTAAAGTTTTAGAGGATTAGTTCACCCAAAAATGAAAATATGCTGAAAATTTAAGGCCATCCAAGATGTAGATGAGCTTGTTTCTTCACCGAACAGATATGGAGAAATTTAGCATTACATCACTCACCAATGGATCCTCTGCAGTGAATGGGTGCCGTCAGAATGAGAGTCCAAACAGCTGACAAAAACATCACAATCCACACGACTGTGGACAAGCTTTCTCCAGTGAAAAAGGCTATCTCCTGTTGCCCTCTCACATCAAAATGATTGTAGTAGTGGAGTTGTGTGTATTGTTGTGATGGTTTTACCTGCTGTTTAAACTCTCATTCTGACGGCACCCATTCACTGCAGAGGAGCCTTTGGTGAGCAAGTGATGTAATGCTAATTTTCTCCAAATCTGTTCTGATGAAGAAACAAACTCATCTACATCTTGGATGGCCTGAGGGTGATAACATTTTCAGCAAATTTTCAATTTTGGATGAACTTTAATACTATGATGCAGCATTTTAAACACTGCAGTTATGATTCTGAAGTTTTTCAATTTGTCTCCACATGCTGTGAAGTAGCACAAACATGCAAACACCGCTGATTGTCTAATTATTGACTCTGTGTAGGTGTGTGTGCCAGCGGCTACAAAAGGAAACATGTTCATAATAGCTCACATGAATCACAGGTGCTGTAGCCTGTAGGCAGCAAATAGTTCACAACCTCAATTAACGGCGGCACTGCCTTGTTAGGGTTCAGTGATTTATTTTATTATTATTTTTTCCTGTACATGCCTCTAGTCTTCAGTGGCAGAGATCTAAAGAGTCAAAAGCATGTACCATACAGGGGTCCTGCAACTGTGACCTGCTGAAAAGCTCAGGTTAAACATGCATCATCCTGCAGGGACTCGTCGGGCTCCCCGCTGTTAGGTGACTGAGCTGCCTGTTATGATGTTATGTCTGCTGAGCTGTATCCTCTGACTATTTCTACTGAATCACAGGGAACTCTTTTCAATACCTCTTATTGGGAAACCGACTATATAGGTGATCTGTCTCGGGGTTGGTAGCTGGTACTTTGTGTCCCATTTCTTTATATTAGATGTATGTATGTATATATATATGGAGTGGCAATGATTCAGTTGATCAGCTGTGGGATTTAATGTCTGTATTTATTTAATATATAGTAGTAGTTTTTTTTATTGTAGACTTTTTGTTGTTTTTGTTTTATTATTCTTTAAATTATAATAATAGATTATTATTGTTATTATTTCTTTAATATAAATGTTAACTTATTTTTATTATTTTAATTATAATTTGATAATAAAATAAATAATATTACATAGAATAGTAATGCTCAATACATTTTCACTCATTACACAAAATGCAATAATAATAATAAACTTATTTTATTTATTCATATAGCTTTTTTCATACAAGAAATGCAGCTCATAGTTCCACAGTTCCATGACTAGATTAAAGATGAAACCCACAATAGATGCAAAGATTAAACCCATAATAATAAAAGAAGATAAAATGAGTCTGCATAAAATGCATAACAAAAGATGGGAATTAAAAAATAAGCAATAATAAAAGAAAGCATAATACATTGCTTTAGAAAAGTCATTTCTAGTTAAAAGCAAAAGTAAAAAGATGTGTTTTTACCTTTTGTTTTATACATAAAAACAAAAAATCCAGTCAAAAAAAAAAAACCTTGAGAAAATAGTTACTCTCTATTACGTTAGTCTACACTGTAAGCACACGGCTTGTTGCGACTGCTCACATTATAATCAATGAAGCTGTCTGCTCAAGAGTTTGACATCAATACACTTATAATGTAGACGGATATGTTGATTAGAATGGGAGCAATATAGATTTATTACATGATAAATGATGCTTGCTTCCATATTTAGAGACTGTGTTAGGCTAATAAACAATATTATTAGGTGGAGGAATTGTTTATTGTGATAGTTATGTATAAATGTAATCATGTATTGAACATTTGATGTCTTTTATCATATTTCTTTTCCTGCAGTTGAGCAATGAGTCACCTGAGGCCTTGCATTACATTGATTTTACCACAGTGTTTTAGGCAGCCCACTTTAACGCAATCCAGCTTCCTGTAGTAAAATCACTCTAATGCACAACATCGTGGCAAGTTTCCAGAGGCTGGTCGTGCTTTATCTTGCTTTGCTACCAAGTGTCCTTTGATTTCAGGCCCACCGAAGCAATAGATTCCCTCTGCCAAGTTTAGTACAGCTGTTCTTCATCTTTGTGGGCATCAGCTCCGAACCACACCTTTACTCTGACGCCTGTCAATGCTTGTGCTGTCCTCCCTCTTGTGTTCCTGTAGAGCGAAAGTGCTAATGATGAAGGTGGGGAGGGTGAATACGTCAATCTGTATTCATCCAACCAAGCCAGTGGAGATGTGACTCTCTCCAATGGAGTAAGTAGCAGCATGTCAGCGTTTGCAGCCGACATGCCGGTGCCCTCACATGCTGCGCTTGTGCTGTGTGTGACTGTAATGCTTGGCCTTGCATCATGAGACTGGACAATTCCAAATTTTACTTAACACCTGCCGTCAAGACATACTTTATGCAGCAGTACTGCATGAAGTGTCCAAAAGCGACAAGCAAGAAATCTCTTGCATGCTAATCTGAGCTTTTGTCGTAACCGGCTGTGACTGTCAGTATTGTTGCATAAGAAATTTTGCCGTGCCATGCTGGGTGGCCCTGCCCACAGTAAGATTTCATTGGTTCCTGCTCTATATTGCTGGAAATTAAACGTCTAGTATATATTATGTGACTTTGTGCAGGATTTTGCATGCAGCAAAACAAGAGGCCTGTAGAGTTTCAGTGACTTTGTGTGCAGACATTGTTGTGAAATCGAGTTGCTCTGATAGAATTCGAGAACTGAAAAGAGGAATTGTTGATTTGATGATTGTGTGCTTTTAAAAAAAAAAACTGCAGTTGCAGCAATAATTATTAAAACCCCTGAACAGATCATCAGATTCATCCCAATGAAGGTCATCTGAGTGTTTACAGACAGCTGTGCTATAATGTTACACAGTCATGTCAGCATTACATTTCAGCAAAATTTCATTTGACATTGTCTTTAAAATATGGCGATTGAGGATATGTAAACATTCACGCCATCAAGCTATTCACCAAATTTTCAACATTCTCCGAATGAAGTGAAAAGGAATTGAATGAATTGTATACAAACAATTAAAAAGAAAAAACAAGATTTGGTGAAACAATGAATGATTGCAGTGCAATATTTTGGTGTATATGTGTATGTAATTGTATACAGTGTCTATGCATATTTACTATGTATAGACAACAAGTCACATAAGTATATTTTCCCCAGTGATGCTTTGTGTTTGATTATAAATTAACAGCTTAGTGCAAATGATTTATCTAACCTCATGTTTGATCATTATTGATAATCACTTCATGATGCATGCCATGTGTATTAAGGCACTTTCTGTAAAGCTGATATATATAAACTACAATTTAAATGTATGGGGTCAGTAATTAAAAAAAAAATAAACACTTTTATTTAGCAAGGATGCGTTAAATTGATCAAAAGTGACATTAAAAACCTTTGCATTTCAGAAAATTTCTATTTCAAATAAATATTTTCCTTTTGACTTTTCTATTCATCCAATAATCCTGAAAAAATGTATCACGATTTCCACTGAAATATTAAGTAACACAGAATAAGAAGAAATAATAACAATAATAATAAGAAATGTTTCTTGAGCACCAAATCATATTAGAATGATTTCTAACAGATCATGTGACACTTAAGATTAGAGTAATGATGCTGAAAATTCAGCTTTACCTTCACAGGAATAAATGACTTTTTTTTGTTTGTTTATGTATTCAAATAGAAAACAGTTATTTTAAAATATGTTATTTCACAATATTACTCTTTTTACTGAATTCTTTGATCAAATAAATGCAGCCTTGGTGAGCATAAGAGACTTTAAAAAATCTTTCTGGCCCCAAACTTTTAACAGTAGTGTATATAGTTATTCAGTGCTAGTGAATTTACTGTATTGTAATGTGTTATCAATATGCCCCAATCCTGTGTTGAATGTTTTGTGAAATGCAGAACTAACACCTCGTGCTGTTCCCTGTATTTTTACATCTTATTAAAATGTAAAATCCAGCTGTCCTGTTCCTGTGAAGCATTTTGCCAGTGACGTCTCATTTTTCGCTCCATTCTTCTCAGGGTGGAGTGATGGTCCTGATAGTCCTTAAATATTTTTTCTGTCTTTGCCAGGACTCTTCTTGTGGTGCTGAGGACTCACTCCAGGACTCGGCTTCAGAACACAGCAAAGATCCGGCCGACAGAGAAGGGTAACATTCATTGCTTTAAAGAAATACTTTGGGATATGGCATTTTTTTTCTCCCACCAGCAAATGGATTTTCTTGCATGTTTTGTATTTTTGATAACCTGCCCTCTCATTCACAGCTGGAAGCAGAAGTGTGTGGATTCAGAGTTGACCTCAGAAGAGGTGGATGAGCTCTACCTGATGGACCACGACGAGATCATGTCTCACTTAAAACTAAAGCAAGAGGTAAAACAGAAATGGCAATCTTTAATTTTAGAAGTTTATGTCTTCATTTGCATTAGTTGCAATGATAGAGTGCTAGTGTGCTCTCTGCTGCCCTCTGCCTGTGAATTCAAGCCACTGCAGTGCCGCTGTGGTGAACCTCAGTATTGAAGTACTTGTGAAATACTGCTGTTCACACTGCAAGGTCAGACCTACTGCAGACGGCATCTCCCCTGAATGAATACATAAGAGAGTTAATAAGTGGACCACTTGTACTCTACAATAAGACAGGAAATATGACTCTAGTGAGCAGGCATGCTGCTTCCTGTGCCATTCTGCTTTTGAAAACAAGTCTTGAACATCCTGACATCTCTACATGTGTTGGGGTTCAGTTGACCCTAAATATACAGGGCTTCCTTGAGACCAACTGGTTGTTCAACTAGTAGATTTTGAAAATATTATTTTGCACATCCCTCTAAGAAGTTATATTTAGGAGCTGATTACATGAAAAGCTCTAACTTGTCAAAAACCGCACAATCCTAATCTGTGTTTCTCAGAACGATGACGGCCCTGACGTCAGAGCTGGATCAGGCGATATTTTATTGGTCCACGCCACCGAAACAGATCGCAAAGGTAAGAATAATCCCTTCTAATCTGAAGGAGTCCATTCATTTGTGTTAAATATTTATTTATTTAATAGCACATTCAAAAGGTAGCTTTTCAACTACCGTTCAAAAGTTTGAGGTCAGTAAAAAAAAAATGTTTAAAGAAATTATTACTTTATTAAAATTATCAAATGTGACAGTAAAGACTTCTACATTGTTAAAAAAATGCTGCTTCATACAAATGCTGTTATTTTGAAAAAAGTTCTATTTATCAAAGAAATGTATCATGGTTTCCACAAAAATATTAAGCGACACAATTTAATGTTTTCAACACTGATGATGAAATGTAATAAGAAATGTTTCTTGAGCAGCAAATCAGCATATTAGAATTAACTTAAATGATTTTTTATGCAATATAACAAAGAGTGAAAAATTGAAGGGGGTCTGAATACTTTCCGTACCCACTGTGTATATATATATATATATATATATATATATATATAAATCCAGTGAAATTACATTAAATTACTTGGATCTTTTTTGTGCAAGTTGTTAAAGGGGTTTTCCTTGATGATATGCTGTGTTATGCCACATACATACAAGGTTGGAATACCCTAATATTAGATGATTACAGTTGAAGCAGCTTGAGTTCTGATGCAGTTATTCCACACTATTTACTCATAGGCCCATGTGATGTCACAAAAAAAAACTACATAAATGTAAACCTTTATTTGTGTGTCAACAGTTTGGTGGAGCTGACAGAAGACATCCTGAAGCAGCTCATGGAGCTTGTGTTCAATCTGTTGTGTAATGGTGAGCTCACCCTGGCCCGGGTTCTGCGCAAGAACATCCTGGATAAAGTCCAGCAGAAGAAGTTGCTGCAGTACACTAATTCCCTCAAAACGCTGGCTGCACGAGGTGTGGCCGCCAGGTAATGCTCACCTAGATCATCTTTCTTTTAAAAAGTGTTAGTTTAGAGTGAATTGAACTGATTTTGAATGTTTGTTAACAGGCCTGGCACTCTGCATGACTTCCGTAGTCATGAGATCGCAGACCAGCTGACTCTCCTCGATGCAGAGCTGTTTTATAAGATAGAGGTATGGCTTCTCTAATGTCATTCATCAAGCTTCCTACATTTAAAGTTTCAGGGTTTTCCAACACCTTTTTCCTGTCTGTCTGCAGATCCCAGAGGTGTTACTTTGGGCAAAGGAACAGAATGAGGAAAAGAGCCCCAATCTGACCCAGTTCACAGAGCACTTCAACAACATGTCATACTGGTATGATGCTCTGATTCTCAAGCTGCTGTAAAACCTTTAGCGTTTAAGAAAAGAAACGTCAGGTGCCACTGCACAGCCAGAAAAACTAGTCTTACGGAACCAGACTTTTGGCTTGCAGCATAAAGTCTGGTCCATATTACAACTATCCATATTATTATTCTGCAAAACCTTCACATTTAAGGCTTGTGCACACGGGACGATTATCGTGTGCGATTATCGCCGACGTTTAACGCCTCGTGACTAAACAAAGGGTGCCAATGTGAGTGTGCACAAAGCCCCAGACGTAAAAGCGTCATTTAAAAAAAAAAAACACGCCTCGGGCTCGTTTTTTTGGTTTGATGCGCCGCGTTAAAAACTGGCTGGAGTAATGATGCTGAAAATTCAGCTTTGCATCACAGGAATAAATTACATTTTAAAATATTTTAAAATAGAACACAGTTATTTTAAAATGTAAATAATATTTTACAATATTACTGCTTTAAATTTAGTTTTGAACGGTGGTGTAATTTATTTATTAATCTATTTATTGTTCTTAAATCTTAACCTATAATTATGATTAAATTAATGTATCTTATGTTCTCTTTTGTAGATCGAGTTTTATACTGTGAAGCTTTTTTGACCACATACCGAACGTTTCTAGCCCCAGAGGACCTCATTAAAAAGCTCCGCTATAGATATCCTTTCTGATGGTGCAGGAGGGAACTTTACATATCTTTTCATTACTAACCTTTGTACACTCCAAGCTTCTTTTTCACCCTTAACTCTGAACACATATACCAGATTTTCTCTCAGCTCTGACATTATCAAACAACGAGCTAGTAAAAACACCTTCTTCGTGCTGGTGCGTGTCGTGGATGAGCTTTGGTGAGCTGGAACTCAATCAAATATCAAATGCACACTTTACAAAGGGATATACATATATACACACACACACACACAACACACACATACAGTGGGTACGGAAAGTATTCAGACCCCCTTCACCTCGGGCTCGTTTTTTTGGTTTGATGCGCCGCGTTAAAAACTGGCCGAGCAGTGAGATTGGTGCTTTTGTTCACGTGCCTGGAGCTGCTGAAGTTACAGTGAAACACGACTTGGTGGTGCTCAAGCACAAAACAGTCTTGCCGAGCACACATTGATACCTAACAATGAAGAGGAAGTAAGTAGACCAAGAAGATGCATCGAGGCAAGCTGCTGGTCTCATTGGTGTCTGAACACAAAAAGCTTTATGACAAACACGACAGCGACTACAAAAATCTCGATAAGAGGGAGTTGTTATGGAGAGGAATTGCAGATCAAATAGGATTCGATGTGTACACTTTACATATTTTATTATTATTATTAATATATTATTTCTGGTATTTCTGTTTTTCATTAAGCGCCATCTAATGTCAGGGAGGGAATTTGCACGTTCACTCGGCTCATCGCCAGCGAAAATCGCTTAGGTATGAAAACAAAGACATGGCGATATGTGCGCGCGATAATCGTCCCGGTGTGCACGAGACTTTAGACACTGACAATTTTGTATATTTGGGTTTCTAAAAATTAATTGGTCACCACAGGACTATTTAAAAACAAGTGAAGGCAATTAAAAGTGGTGAAAATGACATGGTGACAACTTACCTAAATGATACACAATTTCTTTAAGCATTCATATACATTTGAGCCCAAAATTTTGGGTTTATGGACATGTTAATAAGTATACAGTACATTATATATTTTTTATTCTCTGTTTTAAGGGTTCGGTCCTTAATAATCCAGCAAGAGAAAGCCCAGGATCGGGAAAAACTACTTCTAAAGTTTATCAAAATTATGAAGGTACAAACTATTGTACCTTGATTCTAATGGTTTATTTGCTTAATTTATTTAAAATAAAAAACTTGAACCTGTGTCTCTGTAATTTAGCACTTAAGAAAACTCAATAACTTCAACTCCTACTTGGCAATATTATCAGCGTTGGATTCAGCGCCTATCAGAAGACTGGAATGGCAGAAGCAAACGTCAGAGGTAAATCAAATACCCTGTCTCTATATTATTTTAGTGCTCAGTCGATCGTCACGTAACTGATGTTATCTTCACAGGGTTTGGAGGAATATTGCACTTTAATTGACAGTTCCTCCTCCTTCCGGGCGTACAGAGCAGCTTTGGCGGATGTGGAGCCTCCATGTATACCGTATCTGTAAGAACAGATGTTAAGCATTAAAAAGCACATTTTGTATTCCGTATCATATGTAATATTTCATCTATAACTGCTCTTTCCCCTATTTTGCCACAAAATACAGAGGCCTCATTCTCCAGGACTTAACTTTTGTGCATCTTGGGAATCCTGACCTCATCGATAGAAAGATAAACTTTTCCAAACGCTGGCAGCAGTTCAATATCCTCGACACTATGAGGCGCTTCCAGCAAGTGTGAGTACTTCGACACTTCCATAATCAAGTGAAAACAAATTACTTGGGACTTGATTTTATCAATTAGAATTGTATTGGATTGTGAAAACTTGCCTAGAGAACTATTGCCTAGAGATGTCTTTTTAATAGATGTCTCTTCACATTTGATATTTTTTCAGCTTCAAATGAAGCGTTTTGCATGACTTCTACTTTTCTTTCTTTCAGGCACTATGACCTCAAACACAACGACGACATTGTCTCTTTCTTCAACGACTTCAGTGACCATCTAGCTGAGGAGGCATTGTGGGAGCTCTCTTTGAAGATCAAACCTCGCAACATCACTCGCCGGAAAACAGAACGAGAGGAAAGGACGTAGCTCGCTCGGCTAGAACAACAAACTGCTTTTAAAAGCCACTCTCCTCTGAATTGCATCTGAATCTGCAAGACACAGCGATCACAAATTACTGTAATGGCAGCTACGAGACTGGAAACGATACTGTATTTCTGTTACAGTTTACTGAATCTTTTTTTAGCAAAAAAAAAGGGTGATTAGATTTTATTTTGTAATTGCACTGCATCTGAACCTGTGTGTAAATTTGAAGTGGAACAGTGGCAAGCGCAAAGACAGAAAGCATGACTCTGATATGTGAGATTACGTGGTTTGAGATCGTAACCTGGGATTTACGGTGATATTCCGGGACCGTCTCGCCATCTGGATGTTTGCGGTGCAATCTGGAAAAACAACTGCGACTCCAACTGCAAACTGATACCATGATGCCTCAGTGGGCACTTTGGATGTTGAAGTTCCTTGAAGACTGATATTTTTATTTATTTATTTTGTATGTAACAAATGCACATAAAGACTCTTTGGGTTTAGGGGGATTGCTGTAAACTTAGCTGCTGGATTGAACAGCTTGAAGCATGTATGATAATAGGTCATTATGAGGTCACTGTTATTAATAGCACTATCAGGATTTTGTTGCTTATTCTGCCAGATTAACACAGTATTCGGCTTAATTCAAAAGGCACTTTTCTGGATTTGAGTTTCAAATTTTGTTACTAAAATTCTTCAAACAAGAGTGCCAATTTTAATGTGCACTAAGTTCTAGTAACTATGGAAACCTGTTTCCCCCATTAGAAAAAAAAAGACAGTTGCGAATTTTTCTCACAATTTGGACTTTCTCACAGTTCTGAGAAAAAAGTCAGAATTGCAAGATATAAACTCAGAATTCTGATTTTTTTTTTTCTTTCTAGAAATTCTTAGTTTATATCTCACAAGTTTAATTTTTTTTTGTTAGCTCCATGGAATAATAAAAAAAGGTAATTGCAAGTTCCAACTTATCACAATTCTGACTTTTTTTCTCACAACCTCAATTTATATCTTGCAATTATGAATAAAAATCATCAAGAATTGTGAGATTAAAAAGTCACCATTACCTTTTTTTTTTTCGGTGGTGGAAACAGGCTTTAATAATTATCTACATTTTCATATTTCTGTTTATATTGAATTCATACTTATTTCCGAAATTTGAGGCTTCAAATCAGTTGTCTTCCAATTACAGTTAATTGCTAATAATCAGGGAAACTCATTGTTTTGTTAATCGTGCATGTTATTTATTTGTGTATTTATGTGCGTAGATTAACAATATGCTTTTCTAAGATCATCCGCATCATTTGCAAAGGATGGTTTGTCTTCACCGGTGTGGTTTTTGCAAGAAAGATTTTAGGAGTTGTGTTGCAACTCTTTTTCTGGTGCATTTCAATAATTTGCCCAACAGCAAGGCACAAAATAACCACATTTCTGTGGATCTCCCAGAGCCATCGCAGTGATCAAAGACCTACTATCAGGAGCTTGAAGCTGTTCATAAAGTGGTGTCAGTGTGATTAATTTTATATAATGCGGTTTTCCTTTTGTTTTTTAAAAGGATTTTACATGGACATTTGCAGAGAGATTTACTCTGTTGTTGTGAGATGTGATCAAATGTGCACTTTGAAGTTGATTGTGGGAAACCGATTCAAAACTGTTAGGTAACAGTTTGAAGTGGACATGCATATGAGCCTGAACCCCTGCAACGACGCTTACAACGGGATCCTTTTCTTACCTGCAAATTGGACTGAAGTCGGTTTCAAAATTCCAAAGACCCCAGACCATATATCACCAGTTTGAACATGATGATGATTCAGTTGCATATAACATACAACTGACATGTAACTCTGTACACGTAACCCAGTGAAGCCTGGTAAAATAATATACATATCATCAATGTGATTGTTTTGTGTGTGTATGTGTATGGGATCCATTTGTTCTGGTTTGGGGACGACAAAGAATTCAAGAAATTAAAATCTGTGTGTGAATAATTAAATATATATCTAAGGGTATATAAAAGGATGTATTTAAGTAATTTGAAGAACAAAATTGTTTAGATTAACTAACATTTCTCAATCAAACATTTCACAGATACCCCAATAATTTAATAAAGTATCCAATCTTACCTCCTAAGCCAATAATACAAAATGAATAACCAAGTTATTAGGTGTTTTAATAATACAAAATGAATAACCAAGTGTATTAGGTAAGTTGAAATAAATATTGATAGTTCATATGAGTGCATTTAATTATATTGTTTTTAAAATAATTGTAATTACAATCAACATGTTCTTTTGTAAAATATTATAGAGTTGCAAAGAGTTAGAAAACATTTTGAGGTAGGAGAGTAGGAGTCCAAAGCAAGTTTTCTCTCCATTTCAATACGCATATATATATATATATATATATATATATATATACAGTGTTGGGGAATGTTAAACAACACAAATATCCTTTATGTATTTAATCCCATTCTATTAACCAATGTCTTTGCTTCTGACCTTCGATGATCCAGTTCAACCGTACTAATAAGCAAAAATGACTCTAGACAAACATTTGTGTGTTTTTTTTTATTGCTGAAGTGTGTTGAAATTTCTTCTTCTGCATTCTACTGTACGGACATAAATTTACATTTCCTTCAGCCTGAGGCTTATTCATTTCACTTTTGGTGTGAAAAGGCTTTTATATTTGCCAAAAATATAACTTTTTTATTTTAAAAACAAACAAGTAAGCCCTGTCCAGATTTTTAAAAGTAACGCGAAAGTAACGTAACGCATTACTTTCCATAAAAAGTAACGAAGTAACGTAATTAGTTACTTTTTTATGGAGTAACGCAATATTGTAATGCATTACTTTTAAAAGTAACTTTCCCCAACACTGTATATATATATACACTGATATTTTCTACACTCTGTTGACAACAGTGTACACTCTGTTGTCAATAAAATAAATTAATCACTATTAATATCATTACTTCCTTTCAGTATTTAGAAAGCAGACTTAAACAGCAATAACAATGTCTAATAATTGATATACGATCATGAAGAGGACGTTCATAAGAAATAATGATTTAAGAACCAATAACGTTCTCAAAAAACAGCAGGGTGAAATCGTTATAAACATCATGTGCCAAGTGCGAACTGCGAAGACTTTTCGTTTGGCGATTAATTGTTCCCATCCGACTTTTATTTTGAAATTGCATAATTTCCTGCTGTTGAAAAAACTCTTCGCTGTCTGTAGCGCTTCTGCATCTTCCGTCGCGGCCCGTCTGTTAACTAGAATTGTGCTTTGGAATTGAAAGCTAATCGATTGAAGATGAATGTGATCGATCATGTGCGGGATATGGCAGCGGCCGGACTGCACTCTAATGTCCGGATCATCAGTAGTTTACTCCTGACCATGAGCACCAACAACCCGTGAGTCTCTCCAGTGCTTCACAATGTAAACACATCTGAGCTGTCGCATGTGAAGTAAACTGTGCGTCTGTCTAGTGATGATATTCAAATTCAACGGTTTGTTTATTAGTTACACCGCAAGTCATACAGAAATGTGTTATTCTGTAAGCTCGTAAGAAGTCAATATAATAAAAGTATTAATGTATTTAAGACCGCAGAGCAACAGTTCACCATGGTAGCCATAGTTTTCCCAATCAAGTTCTCATGAAATACACTGAAATGCATCATGGCAGTTTGCCTCAGTTTCAAGAGATGAACCCAAAGCCATAAAAGTGTGTTTCTCTTTTTCAGTGAGCTTTTCTCACCGTCTCAGAAGTACCAGCTGCTGGTGTATCATGCTGATGCTATTTTCCATGATAAAGAGTACAGGAACGCAGCCTGTAAGTACAACATGGCTTTACAGCAGAAGAAAGTGCTCAGCAAAATATCTAAAGTGCGTCCATCCAGCACAGGCGGCACAACATCTGCAGTTCAGGCACAGGTGAGCTCGATGAGCCTCACACACACATCCACTCAGTACCATCGTTTGTTACATTACCTGGGCTTAATCACTACAGTTTGTATCATTAGGTAAGTTCATGCTAAAGGAATAAATGTAAATAGTACAGTGAATTTTTTTATTTAAAAAAATTGTGACTTGGTATTAGCCACTGTCATTAAAAATATATTATATTGCACTACCATACAGTAGGGTTGTGACGGTGAGGAAATTTTCCCACCGGTTAATCGACGTGTGACAACACCGGTAATACCGGTATCACCGCGGGGGCGGGGCGTTCCCTCTTTTCCTCACTTTCCTTCGCTTTTAAATAGCTTGTAAAAGCGGTGTGCCCATTTTACTTTCACTTTCAAATAGCGGCAATTCGGAGTAAAGCAATTGTTCGTTTTTAGTGCGTTTGAATTTTTCCTCGCTTTCCTTCGTTTTTAAATAGCTTAAAAGCTCCAAAATCACCTTAGATAAACGGCAAAAGTCAACAGGCTTTTCAAAATCCAAAATATTATCTAGTTTCGAAACTAAATCATCCGCGATTGTCTTGTCTGTCTCACCCCATTCTTCTTGTCAGTCAGCTTGACTCACTCTCCTCACTGGATAAATGAAATCTGATCTGTGATGCGACTGTCGTTCGGCACGCTGCATTGAGCAGCCGTGTTCAGTTTTTAATTGTAGTGTCTGTTCTTTTACTGAACTAAATGATTTTTATTACTATAAAAAATCAAAACAACGGTGGGGGTCGGTGCCGCGGTGGGCAAGTGACGTAACCGGTGTTGCGGCTTAACACCGGTATCACCGTCAACACCGTCTATCGCGGCAAGCCTACCATACAGACATTTGGTCAGTAAGATTTTTAAATGTTTTTGAAAGAAATCGCTAATGCTCATCATTGCTGTAATATTGTGAAATATTATTACAATTTATAATAACAGTGCTATTATAAAACGGATAGCTCCGGTCCTTGATTCTAATTGGTTGAGCCAAGTTCGAAGCTGTTGTAAATTACTCTGCAAACATACACCTTTTGTTTACATTTGTGTGTTGCTCGGCAACCACTTTGTTTCTGAGGAACTACATTGTTTGGCGGAAGACTAATGTTTTTATTAATATCATTACACTTTATTTACTCTGTTTTATTTTGTGAAACCTTACTACGTATATGGAATAACCGTTTTATAAAAGCAATAAGCCCCGTGAAGCCATGGTTTACAGTGATTTAATAACAGCTAAGGGGGTTGTAGGCACTCCGCTTCGTTTATATAAATTGACTGTAAACCATGGCTTCTTGGGGCTTACTGCTTTATTTTAATATACTTTAAAATGTAATTTTATGAATTTTCAGCATCATTACTCTAGTCTTCAGTGTCACATGATCCTTCAGAAATCATTCTAATATGCTGATTTAGGGCTGAAGAAACATTTCTTATTATTATCAATGTTGAAAACATTTGTGCTGCTTAATATTTTTTTGTGGAAATCATGTAAATTTGTTTCATGATTCTTTAAGAGAAAATGCTAAAGAACACCATTTATTTGAAATAGAAATCTTTGGTAACACAAAATGTCACTTTTGATCAATTAAAGGTTTTCTTGAATAAAAGTATTAATTTCTTTCAATTAAAAAAGTCTTACTGACCTCAAACCTATGAACGGTAGTGTATATATTATATTATTTATATTATATTATTGCTATTGAATTGTTATTCTTTTTTGGCAGAAATTATTATTATTATTTTGTCAGGAAAAAAAAAAAAGATTGTGTGAAATAGTAATAGTGATTACCGAATCATGTCTATTCAAACATGACTAATTATTATGATTTCATAGAATTGATAAGATTTGTTGTTGCTGTGGCGTTTTGGTGGAAACGGAGATTTTTGTAATGGCTCCTTTATTTCCCATGTTTCTATTTGAATTCATTTGAATGGAGTTAACCAACTCTGTGTTCATCAACTACAGAACTTCCCGTCAGAGATTGAAGTGAAATATAAAATCGCAGAGTGTTATACTATTCTGAAGCTGGATAAAGATGCCATATCCGTGCTGGAGGGAATCCCTTCACGCCAGAGAACACCAAAGGTGTGTTTTCACACGCGGTCTAGTGCTTTTTTTGTTTTACAAATCTGTGTGTGTGTGAATCTAACAAGCTAATATACACATAATTATTAAGTCTAAGAAGTGGCATAAAAGAGCACTTTGTTTGATTGTTTTCCAGATCAACATGATGCTGGCGAATCTTTACAGGAAGGCTGGTCAGGAGCGTTCAGCCGTCACAAGCTATAAGGAGGTGTTGAGACAGTGTCCTCTGGCTCTTGATGCTATTATTGGTCAGTAAGAATACAGCCGTGTTCCTGTGGTGGTACATCTTGTCCTTTCTTTGTCTTGAAAGTTCACTCTGAACCCAACATTAAAGCCTCGTCCTGTCTGCTCCGCTGCAGGGCTTCTGTCTCTGTCGGTGAAGGGGGCAGAGGTCGCTTCCATGACGATGGACGTGATTCAGAGCATCCCGAATCTTGATTGGCTGTCTGTCTGGATTAAAGCACATGCTTTCACACACGGAGGGGACAATCAGAGAGCCATCAACACTATCTGGTGAGGATAGGACACTCAGTTCAATTGGGCTTTTCATGATCAAATTCAGGATTTCAGTAAAGCAACTTTCATTTCTTAGCTGTTGTGAGGCCATGGAAACATTTTGGAATAATTAAAAAACTTTTTTTTTCTGTAGCAATCTTTACATTTATACATGTTTTATAAATGTTTTTTTTTTTAATAAATAAAATTGTGTGATTTGGTATTAGCCACCACTGTCATCAAAAAGTATGATCTTGTATTAGATTAGATTAGATTTTGTTGTTGTATTATTTATATGCTATTATAGTATTTATGAATATATTTTGAATGAGCTTGTTTAATATTTTCACTTTTCATTTTAGTAATTTTGTCATTTATTCGTTTTTTTTTAATATTTATATTTAGCTTTTATTATTTCTGTTTTAGTCATTTTAGTACTTGAAGTTTCTTTTTTTAAGTTTTAGTTTTCATCTTATTTTTATAAAAAAAAAATTATTTCAGCATTATTTCAATTAAAAATTATTTAAAATAGTCTTAGTTAACAATAACAATGATTATATATGGTATTTAAACTATTAGATTATAATAGATTCACAGTCATTGTATTATTTATTTACTCTTATAGTATTTAATATTTTGAATTAGCTTTTGTATTTTTAGTTTTCTTTTTAATTTTAAGTTTTAGCAATTTTGTTATACAATATTTTTAATATATTTTAATACTTATTTCAGTCAGTAGTCAAGGCAAAAAAAAAATTTTATTCAAACAATTTCATTCAAGTTTAAGTTTTCATGCGATATTTATTTTATTTCAGATTTCAATTAATAATTTTAGTTATTAATAACAATGATTATTTAGTTTTGTAGATTTCCCATGCAAAAATATTTAGAAAGTAATTGCTCACCTGTCACGTGCGTAGCTCTTATGTGTGAGTTTTTGTTGACTAGTCCATCTCTCCTCAGCTCTTTGGAGAAGAAGTCACTCTTGAGGGATAACGTTGATCTTTTAGTCACTCTGGCAGATGTGTACTTCAGGGCTGGAGACACCAAAAACTCCATCCTGAAGTTTGAGCAGGCACAGATGCTCGACCCTTACCTGATCAAAGGTGCATGGCATCAACCAGTCATTTAACAATCTAGATACACTGCATGACGATTATTGTTTGTTTGAATGAGATGATCATGCTGGTTTGCAGGTATGGATGTATACGGCTATCTTATGGCTAGGGAGGGTCATCTGGAAGATGTGGAGGTTCTCGGAGGACGATTGTTCAACATATCTGACCAGCATGCTGAGCCCTGGGTCATATCTGGGTGAGTTTGACCTTCTCCTAATGTGTCTGAAACGCGGTTGAACGCTCTTATTGTTTTGTTTTCCCCAGATGTCACAGTTTCTACAGTAAGCGTTACTCTCGTGCCCTGTATCTGGGAGCTAAAGCCATCCAGCTGAACAGCAACAGTGTGCAGGCGCTGCTCCTGAAGGGGGTGGCGCTGAGGAACATGGGCCGAGTGCAGGAAGCCATCATACACTTCAGAGAAGCCATGAGACTGGCGCCCTGTCGTCTGGACTGCTATGAAGGCAAGAAAGAATTTCACGATAATAGGGATATAATGTTGTTATGCATATTTTGTAGGGTAGATCTTGATAGTTTTGTGCAATAAAAGTTTATAGATATTTAGTCTATTGATTTGCTGAATATCTGTTAGTTACTGTCCTGTTTTATAAAGGTTAGACAAATCTCACAGTCTTTGTCAGTCATCTCATAGTGATATGTCCCTTGTTTTCAGGTCTGATTGACTGCTATCTTGCCTCTAATGGTGTCCGGGAGGCTATGGGAATGGCCAACAATATTTACAAGACCCTGGGAGCGAACGCCCAAACTCTCACCATCCTGGCCACAGTGTGTCTGGAAGATCCCATGACCCAGGAGAAGGCCAAGACTCTGCTGGACAAAGCCCTCGCTCAGCGGCCCGACTATACCAAAGCTGTCGTGAAGAAAGCAGAGCTCCTCAGTATGTCAAAAAGTCACATGTCTTTCTATGTTAATCGTAAACTGTGCAATTATTTCATTATGATTTATTTTGTTTATTATATTTTTTCGATGTATTCTTGTTTTTGTTGTTGTTAATTGATTATGATTTATGGATTTAATTATAATAATTTTATTTAATAATAATATTTATTTTTTTATTTTTTTTATTTTTTTTATTTTAATAGTGATTTATTTATTCCATTTGTCATTTTATTTATTTTATTGTTATTATTATAGTTTTCTTTATTAACTAGTTATCATATTAATTACATTATTTCCTATTTTTAATTTTATTATAATTTTTATTATACTTTTTCTATTATTATTATTTTTACTTATTTATTCTTCTATTGTTAAATTATCATTATTATCTATTTTATGATGTTATTATAACTTTTTATTTATTAATTACATTATTATTATAAATTATTATTATTTTATTTTTTGTATTATTTATATGATTTCCTATTTATTAATTATATTATTATTTTATACTTTTCTAGTTATTATTTTTTCGTTTATTTATTCTTCTATTTATTATTAGTTTTATTATTATTTAAAATGAGTCACTAATAAATAATTTTTTTAAGTTATTATAAATAATTTTATTTTAAAATGACAATTATTACACATTTTATTTTATCAATTAATTCGTAGTAGTAATTTATTTTTATGTATTTGTTTTTCTATTTGTTTATTTTGTTCATTATATAGTTTATTATTATTGTTGCCGTTTTTGTTCTTTAACTGTTATGAAAGTTAGTTATGAAATAACACACATTATTGTTAATAATTAAGCTTCAAAAGCTGATATTTTGGTGTAATGCTGTGTAAAATCTAAATTGTTTTCATTACAGGTCGAGAACAGAAGTATGAGGAAGGAATAGCACTTCTACGGAACACTTTAGCCAATCAGAGCGACTGCGTGCTGCACAGGATGCTGGGGGATTTTCTCGTAGCTGTTAATGACTATCAGGAGGCCATGGACCAGTACAGTATAGCGCTAAGGTAACGTCATCCACACTGTACGGTACAATCTTAAACATTAGAGTCGAGCAAAACTGACTGTTCTATTCCTCTTCTGTAGCCTCGATCCGAATGACCAGAAGTCTCTGGAGGGCATGCAGAAGATGGAGAAGGAGGAGAGTCCCACAGACGCCACGGTGGAGCTGGACGGGGACGATATGGAGGGCAGCGGGGAGGAGGGAGATCTGGAGGGCAGCGACAGCGAGGCGGTGCAGTGGGCCGATCAGGAGCAGTGGTTCGGCATGCAGTGACCCTCAGCACTCATTAAGAGACTCTTCAGAAAAACATCCACACTCATGGATTTTGATGTGTGAGAGTGGAGAGATGCCATTATTGCTCACTGCTGCTGTCTAGTGGTGAGTTACGAACACTGACTTTATTCGGATTTGTGGATGACATTTGGATTTGTTTGGTAGCTTGTCCTTAAAGTTTCCAGTTTTGTCATATCCAAAGATTATCTTTCTCATACAGCACTACACAGATTCAGTCTGTCGCCAGCTTGGCCACAAGGATGGTATAATCTTTTTTTCAACAGTGTGTCTACAGTGCTGCAGATGTTGGACTAAATACACAAATGATTCACTCTTAATGTATTTTCTAACAGTTTTTAAACATCATGGGCTTCACTTTTGCTGTTTTGGGTTAAACACAGGACTAGGCAACTGTGCTACTTATTTTTCATAAAGGTGTCAGATCTGTCATTTGTTTTGCATGCTCTAAGCTTTTTTCAGTAAAAGTGATGATTGTTAGAGACGTCTTTTAAATGAACCACAATCACACAAAATCTTTGTTTTTTTTCTGATTTGGTGTGTAATGAAAACATGTCAAAGTCGTATATCACGCCAAAATAAAAAGAAAATGTTTTGTGTAGAAAATGAATCCTGTTAGGAATTTCACATTTTTATGGCATTCAAGTACATTTCACCCATTCATTTAATGCTCATTCAGCGTGGTGATTTCTATTAAGATAATGCAGCGATACTATTTAAATGTTCTTGTTTTTTTGCTTTGATGAAAATTTTTATATTAAGAGATTTATTGCTTATGCAACAGTGGTTTATTTTATGCATTTTTTTCCCCCCTTTTGGTTGTGGTGTGAATAACTCCTATAAATTCATTTCTGTAGCCCTATGCGCATTATTTTTTTTCATTGTCTTGTTTTGTTTCTGTATTGTTGTAAATAAGGCTATTTTTAAATGTTTTTGAATTAAAATCATGGCATGAAAACTGTTGACGTGCTCAATGTTACTAAACAGAGTATCTCTTTTCCTCATACAAAATCGTGTTGACAAGGTAAAGAAACAGCAGTGCAACCATGTAATATCATTTTATTAACCACAAGTCTTTGTGATAATTACAACACTGATTCAGCAGCGCCCGCTCTCCGTTGTCATGGGCACTGCTGTAAAAGACCGCCTGTCTCTCAATGTCACACACACCTAACACCTGAAATGAGCCTCTGCTTTAAAACATACTGCACATCCCTGTGCAAAGCAACAAGAACAATCAGTTTTGGTTAATTTAAAAGATCTGAGGAGAAACGATGCCTTTTTTCACTAATGGCATCTTTTGTCTTTTCAAATGAAATATTGCAGTGCTATACAAGAGTTTCTAACAACAGGGGACATGCACCATGAAAACTGCTGTAATGTTTAATGCATTGTTTTTTTTTTTCTCCAAATTTCACTGGCTTCAGACAGTTTAACCTGGAATATCAGTGTTCAATGTTTGAGCTTCTTCTAAACTAATGACACAAATTCTTAGGTTTTAGCACAGTTGACATGCAGGCCTAGAAAGATGTGTGGAGCTGCCGAAAACAACATGCACTAAAGTCAAGAAAACCTCACAGCTTCTGCAAGGAATACAGAGAGCGGATTGGCTTAATCATCCCGAGCTGGAGAGAGAGAGAGAGAGAGATGGCAAAATAAGGACACATTTGAAAACAAATGAAAAACACAACGATACTGTATACATAAGGAAATGTGATGTCATGCAACTATAGTTAGACATGATTAAATGCCTCTTTACAGAGTTACATACAGGTCCTTTAGAAACATTGTAGAGACAGTTGCACGACGTCAGTCAATCTGGTGCAGGCAGCAGTACAAACAAACATGAGGTTGTGAATGTGTATTATGTGAGCAGTACTCACTCGCTGATGCACACAGGACAAAATTATTAGTTTTAATAGCAAATTTAATCATGCATGTCTGTTGGGCACCTGCAGTAAGACACTTTTACAAGAGAACTGATTATTATTATTTTTAAAGGAAGAAAAAAAAAATTTGGACCCCTAATTAATCAATTGTGCCATTTATAGATGTAAAGAGGTCCCGTGTAATAATGCCAGGGTTTTAATCTCAGAATTCATCCTAGATATAACAAAAAAAAGGGATCATTTGTGCTCAGTTCATTTACTCAGCATCTAGTATTTACACACATACATTACAGTAAAAATAATTCATCTATAATATTATAATCACTACACTGTCTCTGTAAATACATCCAGCACATGAAAAAGTAAACATCTTCCGAGGATCTACGCAAAGCATATTCTAAACACACTGTCAGTGTCATGTCTTTTTTACTAAAGCATTAATAAAATAAAACCATGAACAGCTAGTGTTTTAGTTGAAGGAAAGAAGTACATTTGGCTAGTCTTCTATCGAGCAAAAATAAAGTCAGGAAAGGGGTCCTAAGAAAGCAACGGACGGAACTGAGGTAGCTGCAATCTACTTAACACCGAGGAATCCTTTTTGCTTCAAGCGAGGAAAGGAAACAGAAACGACATGGGTGACGATGCAGTGGAAAACATCTAAATATAACCCAAATGCACATTCGCTCTTTTTGGCCCAGCGGACTCAAAAGGCTATAAAGAAATCTTAGAGCTCTGAGCCAAAAATATCCAAAGAAATCTGATCAATTTTTCATCTCTGCATTTTAAGCATCCAAAAAAGGCCATAAGGGGGACCTGAGAAAATATACACCTTTCATAAGAAAAAAAAAAAAAGTGCTTAAAATGGAATGATAAAAAAAGGAACATACTATTCTCCGACAACAATATGCCATATATGAGGATAAACATTATATATACACTTAAAAAAAAAAAAAAATGAAACCAGGCTGAAATGCATGTGCAAATGTGAACGGGTGACTGTTGTTCCTTGTTAATGTTTCTTCTCTGGTTATTTGGAGTCATGTGTTAGCTTGGATGGGTCAGGAGGACCAGAGCTGCTGGGTTATGTTAGTGTCTGTGCCGTACAGCCACACCACTAGAGGGATTGTCAGAGCTACGAAGGGCCAGGAGACGCCCTCAGTGCATGCAGAGAGGGACCAGCCTCTCTTGTCGGGCTCCTGGTCCAGGTCTTTACCGGGCTCCAGGTAGTTCCTCGCGATGAATTTGAGCAGCTCGTCCATGAGGATGACAGGCAGTGAGATCTTCAGCACCATCAGCCACTGGGTCACATTCAGAGCGGTGATCTGGAAGATGACCTGAGGAACAACAGAGGGTGAAGCAAAGAAAATATGGAATGAAACGGGGATCGACACCAAGGCTTTCACAGACACCAGTGTACCAACAGCCTACAGGCTTTAATGATATTTTATTTAATAAACATTGACAATAACGGTCTTTTATTATACTATTATTTAATATAATAACATTCTATTTATTAAATTAATTAACTATTTATTAATGATATATTTTATAATATAAATAAGCATAAAAATAGAAAGTAATAAGTAATAACATGTCCACACAATTTTTAAAAGGATTTCTCAACGTAAAAAGTATTTATTCATATAGTATTCAATATAGATTTCTTTATTTTAAATAATAATAACAACTATAGATTTTAGAATAACTATATAGATTTTTCTGAGTGACATGGATATATACTGTGTGTATATATATATATAAATAAATCTACATTGTTTATTCATTTATATATAAAAATATATAACTGAAATTAATAAGTAAAAATATGATAAATATAAACAAAATAAGTGAATTATAAAAATAAAAACAAATAAATATTAAATAAATAAATGACAGACATGATAAATTACTCATTTTAAAATAACATTAATTTATATTATGCTACTACTACTACTCTGAGTGTTAGGTAGTAATAGTAGAAAAATATTTTACAAATAATTTTCTATTTTTTTAAATGATAGATTTTTCTAAGCGAAAAAGTATTTTAATCATATTTTAAGTATTTAATCAATTTTAATATATGCGTGTGTGTGTGTGTGTGTGTGTGTGTGTGTGTGTGTATATAAGTGGTGTGCGGTGGTGTTCTGAAATTATTATTATTATTTTTAATCAAATGTAAATTCATGTCCCAGTCACATTTTCTTGGTTAAATAAACATTGCTTACACTATCAGAAAAAAAACAAACAAAAAAAACAATTCTACTTTAACTTGATGAGATTCATACTTGGCTTTAATTAATAAAATATTGATTACATTGGTGTAAAAGTATAGTGTTTTTAAGCATTTTACATTTATTCCAAAATAATAACTCCAGGCAGAAACAATTTAATATATTTTATTTGTGAACTTATGTTCAGCTATTCTTTTTAATATTTAACTTTTAACTAAATGTTCCGTTGTCTAATTTGTACTTTTTCAGATCATCCGTCATTAAAGCCCGGTAAATATTGAATTTGTTGAGATAGTGAAGTGAATTTGTTAAATGTGAGCCAAAATCATCACAATTAAAAGAACCAAAGACTTAAACTACTTCAGTCTGTGTGCATTCAATTTAATACACGAGTTTCACAATTTGAGTTGAATTACTGAAATAAACTTTTCCACAACATTCTAATTTATTGAGATGCACCTGTATGTGAAATAAATAGTGTAGTTGGCACAAATTGTCAAATCAAAAGAAAGGTTCTGAACTTTGTCCACAAAACTGTTAATAGAACCATTTAGAATTGCATTATAACTTGTAAGAGTAAAATAAACATTTGGATTTTTGTGAAAGTGAACCTGGAGTGCATACCGGGTCCATATTCAGAGTTTGTGTGGAGCAGTAGTGGAGAAATAAATGTTCCGTTATAGATATAATTCTATTCTGGGCCCCAAGATTATTTTTGACATCGGGCACTTAATGATCTATAGTGTTAAGATGCATCATGATGGGGGCCTACCGGCAGCGGATCCACGTAGAGGATGAGGAAATGAAGAGACATGGAGAGGCAGATGGCTCCCAGCAGCCAGATGTTCTCCCAGGGAGGCATGCGCAGCAGAGACTGATTCTCTGACAGACTGCAGGAAGAACAACGACACGTTTACTTGGGTTCAATAGCAACACAAAGCTTGTTTTTAATCACCATCATGCCGGAGTCTAGATGTCAGGTGGATGGTGACTGACCTGTTGAGGGCGTTACACATCTCGATGGTGACCAGCACAGACAGGGCCATGGTCATGGGGTATGGAGACTCGAACAAGTTGCACTCCAGGTCCTGGAAGTCAGGATTATCAGGAGAACACTGGAGGAAATGACTCTGAGAGGACAAGAGAGAAATAGTTACTACTTAGATGCTTAGTTACTACCACTACAACAATTTATATACAAAATATATTAAAGAATATAAATAAATTCTATATAACAACAACAATTCTCATTATATAATAAAACCGTATTAAATATTTACAAATATATATGTACATACCTTTAATAATAATAATCATGTATTATTATATTAATTTAACAAAATGATACATGTATATAAAATGTAATTATATGATATATAAAATTAATTTAATTTATTAAGTAAGTAATGTATGCAAGTAAGTAATGTATGCAAGTAATGTATGCAAGTAAGTAATGTGTGCAAGTAATGTATGCAAGCAAGCAAGCAATTAAATAAGTAAATAAATAAGTAAATAAATAAATAAATAAATATAAAACATTGATCCAAAGTAGACAGTAACGATTTGTACATTGTTACAAAAGAGTTATATTTCATATCAATGCTGTTCTTTTGAACTTTCTATTCATCCTAGAAAAAAAAATATTAAGCAGCACAATGGTTTTCAACATTAATAATAATAAAAAATATTTATTGAGTCTCGCATATTAGAATGATTTCTGAAGTGACACTGAAGAGTAATGGCTGCTGAAAGTTCAGCTTTGCAATCACAGCAATAAATTACACCATTGTTTATAATGACTCTATTTTACATTATTATTATTTTTTTTTATTATTATTAAGAGTCCAAAAAATTGTGCTGCAATCGGTCAAAGCTAGGTCAGCTTTTTAACGGTTTAAATGTCAAACAAATCTTTTAGACATTCAAATTTTTTTCTTTAAATGACAAAAATGTAACCAGTCTAGTTTTGGTGAAAAACTAAGCATTTATGTGTTATTGCATCAGACTCTGTGTGACCCAGCCTTAAGGCTACAGTTTTAGTCACACACATTTCATTTATTTTAAAAACAGAGATATATACCAGCTGGTAAAATGTGACCATTGGACCGTCATCAGCAGCAATGAACCACCAGGCTGCAGCTCCTACAGTCGCAGCACCCACATAACCTGAGAAACACAACACACACAAGATAACAAGACTTAACAGACCAGCAATACCGGATATGTACATTTTTCTAGGTTGTCATCAAATGACATATGCAAACTCTTAAATCATAGCCACTAGGGTACATAAGTCACGTTTGTGACTCACAGCCGATGGCCAGGTATCTGAAAAAGAGCCATCCAGAGATGAGGGGCTCCTTGGCGTTGCGGGGGGGCTTGTTCATGATGTCCAGGTCAGGAGGGTTGAAGCCCAGAGCGGTGGCGGGCAAACCGTCAGTCACCAGGTTCACCCACAGCAGCTGGACGGGGATCAGGGCCTCAGGGAAACCCAACGCAGCGGTGAGGAAGATACTGTGGAGGAGTCCAACATATTAGCAACATACAACAAATGGAAACGGAACTGAAAACCACAACCGGACTGACCAGACGACCTCGCCCACATTGGAGGAGATGAGGTAGCGGATGAACTGCTTCATGTTGTTGTAGATAGCTCTGCCTTCCTCAACGGCAGCCACAATGGTGGAAAAGTTGTCATCAGCGAGGACCATCTCCGAGGCTGTCTTGGCCACGGCAGTGCCAGAGCCCATGGCGATGCCAATCTCTGCCTTCTTCAGGGCAGGGGCATCGTTCACACCATCTCCTGTCTGCAGAGACACAACTGCTCAGCCAAATAGGACAATCAAACACGATTGAGCTAAATCACTGTCCATTTACACCATACGGCCACCTACCATGGCTGTGATCTCATCAAAGCCCTGCAGGAACTCCACAATCTTGGACTTGTGCGAAGGCTCGACACGTGCGAAGCAGCGGGCAGTCATGACGGCCTCTCGCTGGGCGTGAGGTGAAAGGTCGTCAAATTCGCGGCCAGTGAAGGCCATGCGGTTGATGTCATCGTCCTCTGAGAAGATGCCGATGCGTCTGCAGATGGCCACAGCCGTGCCTTTGTTGTCGCCGGTGATCATGATGACCCGGATGCCAGCGTGGCGGCAGAGCTTGATGGAAGCGGCCACTTCTGTACGAGGAGGATCCAGCATGCCCACACAGCCCACGAAGGTAAGATCCGACTGGCAGATGGGGAGGAGAGGGAAGTTTAGAAAAAAAAAACTTCAGTAGCTGGCTAGATAGAGACAGCTAACTAGACACAAAGATGCTTTATTAGATACTGTGGATAAATACATTTCTAGATAGTTAAAATACTTAATTGGATAGCTATCTAGCTAACTAGTTGGATAAACACTTTTAGATAGTTAACTAGTTGGATAAATAGTTTGCTAGATAGAAAGCTAGTGAGACACACACAAAAATTATATTAGATGGACGTTATTACCTAATGAAATACTTTATTAGATAGCTAACTAGCGGGATCAAAATTATTTTTTTAGACATAACTAGCAAGACAGAAAATGGTTTATTAGACAAATGGTTTATCAGGAAGCTAGCAAGACAAAAAGATAATTAGATACCTAGATACATTACTAAATAGTTAAATAGTTACATTACTAAATAGTTAAATAGTTACATATTGTATTATATAGCAACCAGCATGATGGACTGTTTATTTAACGGTTAACTAAACTGATTAAAACTATCAATCTAGCTAGTTAACAATAATAGTTTATTAGATGGCAAGCTACCAAAAAAAACAACTATTCTTTATTAGAGAGCTAGACGTTACTACACAGGTAAATAGTTAGATACTTAAGATAGCTAACTAGCTAAATGTAAAAATACTTTAATATAACTGATTTATTTATGTAGCTAACTAATAGTTAACTATAAGATAGCAAACAGCTAGTGGGACAAAGATATTAGATAGATAGCTAGATATGTTATTAGATACTAATACTAATAACTAGCTAGCTAGTAATTTGATTGCCAACTAGCTAGACAAATGAACACTATTAGATAGTTAACTAGTTTCATAAATAGTCTATTAGATAGGAAGCTAGTGAGACGCAAAGGTATTTTTGTAGATAGCTAGATACATTACTAGATAGCTTGATGTTAAATAGTTTAGATAGATGGCTGAACAGTTTAACAGATAGTAATCTACCAAGATGCAAAGAAACCTTTTAGATTATGTTAACCATTAGACAGTAATATATCTAGATAGATACTTCAATAGATAGCTAATTAGCTAGATTAAAAATTGGTGTATTAGGTAGGTAGCTAACTAGATGGCTAACAGAGTGCAAAGACACTTTTATTAGAGAGCTAGATGTTACTAGATGGCTATCTAGAAAGTATTTATCTAAACAGTAAAATGGAAAAATTATTTATTAGCTAACTAGCAAGATGAATAAATAGTTTATGAAACTTGTTAGATACTAGACAGCTATCTAACTATTTGGATAAACGCTTTATTCTATAGCTGTGAGCATGACACAAAGACTGGCATAATGCAGTATTGTACAAGTTCAGTAACTCAGTCACCTCATACTCCGCAAAGCGGGCCGTTTCTGACAGGATCATCTCCTCTTTCTTCAGCGGACTATCGCTGGTGGCCAGTGCCAGGCAGCGCAGGGTATCGCGGCCAGTGCCATACTCTCTGATCACAGACAAGATCTTATCCTTGATGCCTTGAGTCAGGGGAACCCTGGATCCACCCACACGCACGTACGTGCACCTCTCGATCACTCCCTCTGGAGCTCCCTGAGGAAGACACAGCTGTTTATCAATCTGAAAAACCTGCCAATACAACAACTCCGTATATAACAAACAAGTATCCGGTTAGTACCTTGATAAACATCTTAGCAGTAGAGGATTTGGCCTTGTTGGGGGAACAGTACACAGACATGGACTTCCTGTCTCTGGAGAACTCCAGGGTGAACTCCTTCTTCATCAGCTGCTTGATCACCTACGCATACACACATATTGAGTTATTAAATCATGATTAAACAAGTGCTTGCATAATTATTTACTAATCGTATAAATATTTACTGAGTTGCAGGCGTTGGCTCTCTCGATCGTCGACAGGCTGCTGACGTCAGTGTCAAAAACGTTCATCTTTTCCACCAGGCAGGTCAGAGCCGTCTCCGTGGCTTCTCCAACCTTCTCATAAACGCCTTTAGACTTAAAGAGAGTTAGCACTTATCACCAAGTGTGGAACTGAACTTCTGATGAAGCTTTTTATAGTGACTGTTCTACTTCCGACAAACATGGTTAGAGATGCAATCAAATTAAATCTTGAATTATCCCAAGAATGATTACATAATATATTTATTAAAAGTGTATTATATCTAGTAATCATATCTAATATATGCCTCGGAAGACTAAATTAAACTACAATAAAATATGAAACTGGCCAGAGACATTCATGATGACGACATACATGTCTCACTAGCGTTCAAAATTTTGGAGTCAGTACATTTTTTAAAGGGGTCATATGATGCGGTTTCAATTTTTCCTTTCTCTTTGGTGTGTTACAAGCTCTTGGTGCATAAAGAAGATCTGTAAAGTTGCAAAGACTAAAGTCTCAAATCCAAAGAGATATTCTTTATAAACGTTAAGAGTCAACCACGCCTACCTAAAACGGCTCGTTCTAACACGCCCCCACATGTCTACGTCACGATGTGGGAAGATTTGCATAACGCCGCCCAAATGTTCACGCAAAGAA